ACAGAGTTTTAAATAAAGATCGAGATGTAAGATCAAATCTCAAATCATAAAACAAATCAGTGGTTTTTGGCATTCAGATGCATGCTTTGGGCTGCAGTTCAAGTACACATGAGTTCTTCATGCTCAACCATCAAAGAGCATGTTTGATTGCTTGTTTTCTGCACGTTTTAGTCCTGCTTTAGCACGTATTTTCTAGGGACTGGAGTTCTGTCTGTGCTTGTCCTCACCTCTGGCCATAGCTGACCTCTTCCTCTCAGGCATTCTCTCTGATGGGTCTGACCTGCACGAATGTGTTTTTCTCTCAAGCATAGTCACCATTACTGGACATAGAACCTGTTTACAAGATCTAACTAGGTTTCTGTATCCACAGCCTTGCATTTGGCTTTTACTTGAAGAACATCCATAAACTCAGGCTAAGAATCATTTCTGTTCTCAAGGTTCCTTTGTTTCTGCTAGTGGAGATGATGGGTAGTGACACTGAATTCCTAGAATTTAAGAGCAGGACCCAGGCTTCCGGATGTCTCCCTTAGCACTAAATGTCTTTGTCTGCCCTGTATCAAAAGGGATTCACTGGGACTGTTCCAACTGGCTTTAACAGGTTCTGATCAAGGAGACTTTTGCTTCCTAAATACTGAATAATAGATAATAACCTTGATGTCCAGTGTTGTCCTGAGGTGTTTTGGGTAGGGAAATTTCGGGTTTGACTAGAACATAATTGCTCCCTTTACATAACCCTCCAGACCAACTAGAACTCATCTGCCGTCATAATTCCATAAAGAACATGACGATGCTGACCAATCAAAGGAAAAATATGAACTCCACTGAGCAACTAGGAACTTGGACACAAGCTGATCACGGATATCTCAACCCCATTTTCAGTGTACACGAACATTCATCCCCTAACACCTCAGGGAGCTCAGCAATTAAATGTTAGCTACTGGCTCCTTGTTCTGCGCTTTGCAATAAAGCACTGCTTTCTTCCACTACTCTAATGTCAGTGATTGGTTTGCTGTGTGCGGCGTGAGCAGAACCAATTTGGCAGTCTTACAACAATGCCTTCAGTATGGGGTGTTGATTGGCAACCGAAGAAAAAGTGCTGGCCAGGACAACGTGAATTCTGACAACAGTGCTTCTGCCCAACTCATGGGACTTTCCATTTGTGAATCCGGGAGAAATGGGTAACCTGTCTGGGTCTCATTTTCCTCCTCTCTTAATAAAACAAATACCTCCATTACAGGAAGTGGTAAAAACTGGATAGGGTGGCATTGTGTACTGCCTAGCTTTGTACCCGGTGGCTGTCTGCAAAGGTCTCATTTTCACTACTTCCCTCTTGTCTCTAAAAGGGTTGCAGATAGGGTTGAAACAGATTAATCCTGCCTAGCCCAACACCAATACCTTTATTCTTTCTAGATGTTTCTGCACCAAATCTCTGTGCATCTTGATCCCCTGTTCCTGCGGAAACTATGAGTCTTGTCTAATCAAAACTGGAAAAAATGGGTGTTGGGGGAATTCTTTTCTTACATCTGCTTTCTCTGTCTTTTATTTAGCCAATGAATTTCTTTGAAAGGAGCATCAGTTCTACATCCTTGCCCTCCACTCAGTGGTCTATAAATGCACTCTAGTTCACATTTCCTTCTATACCTCTCTTCATATCATTGTTTTAAATTGTCCTGAATTAAAACTGAGTGCTTAGATCTATGTTAAACAGATAAGGATGTTCTAAACATACTTGAACAGCAGAAGCATTCTATGAAAATATAATACAAACAGCTATGCAGTTTCTGTATTTTCTGGTAATTGCATTAAAGAAGTAAGAAGGAAATAAACGAAAAGTTTAAAGTTACATAAAAAGTAAAAACACTATTTTTGTTTAATGTGACACATCTGCAGTATCTTAACAGACAATCCATGCTAAAATTCTTACCGAGATATTTTCATTTCTTTTTATATTAAGTATATGAACTCTGCTACATTTGGACTGATGAAATTCCAAGTGCTCATTGGCCCTGTGTGGTTAGTGCTGTCATGTTGGACAGTGCAGCTCTAAAAGGCATGACCAGACTTCCCTGGCATTCTTCTGGAACATTTAAGCCAGCTTTTGATTTTCACTGAATGTCCTCAGTTGCTTCTGGGCTGACTTCTTGTTCTCTTATCAGCATCTCACAGATATCACCTCCATCCCCAATTGGTGCCCTTTCCCCAAGTAGAAGATCTGCCCCACTTCTCTGCCTTGGTGCTATCTTCTCTGGAAATTGAGTAGCTAGAATGTCATATCAAACTGATGGAATGAACATGAGCACATTGTTTAAGTTGAACGGTTGGAACTGAGAAGGGAGAGGAGAATGCTCTCATTTCCCACTGTAATCCATCATTGTTCAGTAAGGCAATTTCCAGTGTGTACTTTGAAAACTTTCTTCATTTCTACCTGTCAGTAAAACCTGTCAGTTCATGTTTCCATCCTTTTGCAGGGATCCTTTTGCATGTTCTACTGCAGTGTCCTGCTAGATTACCTACTGTACTTATCACTCAGGCTTTTGGAAAGCAGCTGATGTAATTTAAAAGCTTCTAGAAACTATGCTTGGAATATCTGTGCAGCTGTCTGCAGTAGCTGTTGTGGTATATGCAATGACTGATTTGCCGGGGCAGAGTATTTTGCTGGGCATGCTCTTGGTTATTTAGAGTGTCTTACTTAGCATCAGAAGAACTCTGTATCCCTCATCAAACGTGGTAAATCTGATCTCCGAGGCTGCCCATGTGTGTGACTGTTTGGTGATGAGATGTGACGCCCTCAGAATGGTTGACATACTTCTGAATCTTATACCAATTTTTTTTAATGTTTCCTTTGAGGGCACCTATGGTGGCAAAACTGTATAGCTCTCGATAATCAGCATGTTTAAACCGACAGGTGTGTGAGCACGGATAAACTGAATATCATGTGGTTCTTTATGTTCTTTTAGTCTTATGGGAATACTATCTATTGGGGGTTGAAAGTGTGTTTGACAAATCCAGGAGATGAGGTCACTGGATTCTATTTAAAAATCAAAATGACTGGGTCCCTCCCTGCTTTCAACACCATGGACATATGTTAGATGACAAATTTTTGAGTCACTGAGTTTAATAGGATCATCTGAGGGCTCAGGTTTCTCACCTGTTTTTAGAGATTAGTGAACACCTGTTTGTACCCATTTTTCTTTCACTCAGATTCTGTATTAATTTCTCCTGTTAAAGCATTCTTGAGATTTCTACGTCTGCCACTGCAGTGAAGAATAGATAACTCATTCCCAGATTTAATAAAACCAATGATCTTTGAAGTATAATTAAATTCATGGTCCACCTGACCTCAAAGAAACAAATACTTCTGTAGTTATGTGTTAATGTGGGTTCTCCACATATTTTGTAAGAAATTATGTTCTCTTGTAAAAATTATATACACCAATGAGAAAATGTGAGTTTTGGTATACTTACTATACTGACTAACACTCACCTTGTGTATGATCTACTTACATAATTCATGCATAAGACATAGATTGCCAAAAATTCTGAAGACAATGAGGTGTATGTCACAAGCAAAGTGAAATAAGCACAGTCACTATTGTTCTGTTGTTTGTACGGATAATAGGTGAACATGCTGGTTAGCAATGACTTCCTATTAATCGGAAGCTTATTCTGTATCTTACTGCTTATTCCGTGCTGGGAAGCTAAGAATTGTACAGATATTTTACTCTTAGTAAATGTTGTGATGTTAGTTCTGTAATGGTACTGTGACCACTAAGTGAGCTTCTAACTTCTGGGTTGGGGTGTGTGTGTGTGTGTGTGAGTGTGAGATGTGCGGTGCTGTCCACTTATTGTAAGCAACTTCAGATCTGATTCCACTTTTTCATGGTCTTTTGTTTCAGTTGTTTTCCCCAGCTGAAGGCCTGCAGAGAAAACTCAGAGTGCAGGCTAGACACTCATGGTGGAGAGAGACAGGGCGCCTGTTTCTGCTGTGTGATTTTTAATGAGCGGTCTTCAGGTTTTAAGTCATTACCTCCAATGACAAGGCTGTGAAACTTTGTATTAGTCAGATGTGGTTTCAGGATGTAGTGGGAAGAACATGCATGTTGGAATCCCGTAGATATAGGGATGAATCGGATGCTTACCACTGGCTGTATGGCCCTAGGTAAGCTACATAAGCCATCCAAAACTCAGCTACCTTAACTCTGCTATGGTGATATCACAGTTGTTAAGGAGTTCTTGAGAAAAAATGGTGATTTCCCAAAAGCAAGCAGCAAACGGTCTAGTCTATCGTGGTTTCTTAAGAATTGATAGCTACAAAGGGAGTCTGAGGATAATGTTTTATACAAAATCTGAGGATCAAAATCCAATTTCCTTTCATTGAAATATGAAATCTGTAACCCATATCAAGTCATGGCATCCCTTTAAAATGTCCAACTCCTGCAATTTTTTCTTTTGTTTTGTTTTTTAAAAAGACACTGTAGATGGAAGTATTGTCAGTTAAATCTATGTGAACTTGAGTGAAGCCCTTGGGCACTAGTAATGTCAATGGAATCTTAATAATGTCTTTTTTTTACTTCATGAACAGATTTGTGGCAATTACAGCTGACCACATGTTTTTATTGCCTTTTTTATAATAGGAAATACAATTCTATGCATTTTATTTATGAGAGTCATATGAACCTATGTTCATTACCATGCCTATATTCATATTTATTTTTGTCAGGGAAGTAAGATGTGCTTTAAAATAATACATGGTTTAGGAGCTGCTGGAAGATCTGCACAATTTTCTTCATGTCATGTAGTATACCATGCTGATAACTCAGTTTTATGCTTTTCTGGGATCACTTTATTTTTTCTCTTACACATGTAGAGGGTGAAATGAGAATGGAAAATTTTATTAATGCATGAGATTAATTTATTTAAAGAGGAAAAAGGTCAAGAAGGTTTTTTTTAAATTTTTATTCACATATGTTGATAATTTAAACCTTTTGTTTCTTATTTAGGTTACTTGTTGGTTTCAGAAAACTATAAGAGATTTACAGGAACAAAGTCTAGGTTCATCACTTTCAGACAATGAAGAACTGATCCGTAAACATGAGGAACTGGTTATACAAGCAAAGGTAAGAGAAACATTAAGAAATAGTTGGAAATGCATGGATTTCTCTTAAATGTGCATCTGTGAATAGGGGTGAACAACAATAACAAAAACTCTAATTGAATATTCCACTATTTACATATAAAAAATCCTGATAGCATTAGATAATACCACTGCCCAAACAGAATACTAAACAGCAGTTTCTATAGCAATAATCATAGTTTTTGAAGAGTTACTATGTGACAGGCACTACAGTAAATATATGAGATACTTTACTTCTCACAAAATAGGCATTGTTTTTCTCATTTTATGAATCAAAAGAAATAAGACAAAGGCTTACAAATGCAAAGAATTTGACCAGTGTAGTATATCCTATTAGTAGCAAGTGTTAAATTGCGTTCTATGTTTTTTTCTAATTCCAGAGCCCAAGCTCTTGAAACAGCATTTTCTAAATAAAAATTTCTAATTTCCTAAAAATATTTTTCTGAATTTAACTCTTGCTATACTATCGCTTTTATGACTGCAAGGTATATTTAGACGCGGTTCATATTTGCATTTCTCTAGTCTCTTGATTTCCTTCAAGTTTCTCAGTACCAGCTGGATAAGCATGAGGTGTGTGGAAATGGAGCAATGAAGTGCTGGAAGGGAAAGGAACAGTACAGTAGTCTGCAATTCCTCCTCTCTCCATTGTGGCCTGCTTATTTTTGTTTTTAGAATTCACTCATTCTTATATGTAGGTCTGTGAATGCTTTTCAAGTTTCTCTCCAGATGCTCCATATAGATTTGAAGGAAAACAGAATTCTGTCATAGTAGGTAGATTCAGTGAGCAGTGAAGACTTTCATCACCATCAAGATTTAGAGAAATTGGGGAATTGATAGTTGGAAATTCCAGAAAGCAATGGGTTCATTCGATTGGACAGCAGATGGAAATAGGGAAGATTAAACTATTTTCAAGTCTGTGAGGATGGGAATTGGAGTGTGGCAGGGAGGCAGTACCCTGTATTTGTTCATACTTACACCTCCTTATCAGCCAGTATTACTTTAGTTTAGTTCTCAGCTTCTGTTGGGAACCAGCAATGTGTCATAGGTATTCAAGTGTTTGTTTAAAATATTTAACTGAATAACACAAGGCACAATTACAAAAGACTGTTGACCCAGTAGTGGTTGATCACTTTTCATGTTTTTAAGGTAACATGTTTGGTTTAGCAATTAAAGAGGTTATATTTTATTAAAGTTACATAGCAGTTATTATTTATATATCAAACTGTGAGAATTTTCTCAAAATCTTTAAACACTGATAACAAAAATAGCCTTGTGCATAGGGCACACTGTGTCTATAGCAGTTTGATAAAATGACTACTTCCTTGAAAATGAAGAAACAAAATGGGTTATTCACACAATTTGGACGTGCCTTGGGTTATATTCACTGTACGTGTGGAGTCACTAAGGTTCCTTACAGCCCAGGAGATGGTCTGGGTAAAGTGTTTGTTAATAGATGACTTCATTTCAGGGCAGAGTTTCTGTCAGAGCTTAGACTTCACATCTGATACTCCTTTGTGTTCAACTAGAAAGCCATATCGATGTTCTTTCATCATTATCCCTAAGTCAGAAACATAGAGATGTAAGAAATAGCTTCTAATGACCATTTTAAGAGTCATTTAAGGTTTTCAGAAAAAATGAGCCCAAGGTATCAAAATTTATCACTTAATCTCCATACTCTCGCATACCCTTCCTTATTATCACCATCACCATCCTGTCTTCCTCATTACGATCCCATGCAGAATTCCACTGCCTCTTTCTCCCTCCCTTCCTCCCTCCCTCCCTCAACTCTTGACAACTACCAGTGTATCCACTGTCTCCTGGTTTTACCTTTTCCAGACTGTCATATAGTTGGAAACATACAATATACCATGTTTTCAGATTGACTTCCTGGACTTTGTACTTAAGCTTTTTATATGTCTTTCCATAACTTGAGAGTTCATTTCTATTTAATGTTGAATAGTATTCCGTTGCCCTATATGCCACTTTATTTGTCTATTCACTGACTGAAGTATATCTTGGTGGCTTATAAATTTTGGCTTGGCTCTTTTTACCCCTATCTCTGTTTCTGACTCATCTTTCAAATAAAATAAAAAAGATTATAAGTTCATTATAAATATTTTCCTATGCAATATCCTTTAGCTGAAAAGCATTCCATTATATGAATGGAATACAAGTTGCAGTCTGACACATTTTATTTTTACAAAGAATTTAAGCCATATTAATATTCAAGCAAATTTTGTAAAAAGGGGAACTAATTCTGGTTTCATGTCCTTATGTTCCAGACAAGTGTGTCTGTTTCCTTTAGAGTCCTGGACCTCATGTGGACACTCAATGTGTCCAAATTATTTTCAAGTTTAAATGTGCTTGGACAGTAAGGCAGAAAACTGTTATTTATCAATAGGATCATCAAGGCTAAACTTAAAGAAAATAGCTGAAGCACCATGAGTGCAAAGTCATCCTTCCAGAGCTGGCTAAAAGGAATGGGGTTGGGCTGGACAGCAGAGAGTGTGTATGACTCCGCTACAAGCCACCAGCACCTAACACTGTGCCTGGTGTGTAAGAAGGCTGTTGGATGAACGTCTGTTCATCAAGTCCATTTGCCTACGAAGAAGCATCCTTTCAGTTTTCCTTTATAACTCTTTGTGACAATCAGCTTCCTTTTATCCATCTATTGTCTTAATTTTTTTTGACTGTCAGAGTTACACATACTGTTTGGTTCATTGTAAATATCTGGCTTGGGCTCTCTCTTGATTTTAGTATTTCCCCCTTTGTTCCCTATCTCCACAGTCCTGTTCTCACAGGCACAATGTATTTGTCTATTTGAAAGTTAGAGTTAGGACCCGGCATGGTAGCCTAGCAACTAAAAGTCCTCGCCTTGCACACTGCAGATTACATATGGGCACCAGTTTGTGTTCTGGCAGTCCCACTTCCCATCCAGCTCCCTGCTTGTGGACTGGGAAAGCAGTTGAGGATGGCCCAAACCTTCCTCCTTTCCTTTCCTTTCCTTTCGTTTCCTTTCCTTCCTTCTTTTTTTTACTTTCCTTCTTTCTCCCTACTTTCCTTCCTTTCTTGAGTTAACATTTGAGTTAATGCATTTTAAATTACATTACAGTCAAAACCTTAATTTCTTCAATAAATAGAAAGATCCTCATTCAGCAGACATATAGACAAGGACTATGAACAACAAATAATATCCATTTCATTCATATAAAAGCCACTTTAAACAGTGCAATGGTGTACTAGTTGTCATATTTTTCAGGTACATTCAGGTATACAAACAAAACCACATGAGTGTAATATTATGGATAGACAAGTCATATTCATAAAAAAGCAGGTCAAATTGTGAATTTTATAAACTTGTATTACCGTTGTTGGTGATTGTGCACCCCCAGCTTTATAATTGCAGCTATCTAGAATACGGTGACAGGTTACCTATGTTTTCTTATGAGGCCAACCAAAAACCAGAATAACCAGTTCTCCTCTGCATGTGCAGTTGCTCAAAAACCTGAGATCTTGACAAATTTTACTTGTCAAAGATGAGATATAAGAATAGCTCTCCATTTATTGGAGAAGCCAGGGGTGGGATTCTCAGACCCAGTCCAACATCCCAGAGACCTAGGAGGCTATAGGTGTGAACCCTGGAATCCAAAGGCTGATGAGCCCGGAGTCCTGATGTTCAAGGCATGAGAAGAAAACCACATCCTTCCAATCTTGAAGGGGGGAAAGAGCTTTCTTCTGAGTGCTTTCTATAGGCCCCAAGCTGGTTCACTCACTCACCTTTCTGGAAACACACTCAGACACATTTCCAAACAATGTCTTATCAGGGTATTAGCTATTTGTTCTGCCTAACGTGAATCTAGTGTCCTACATATAACTGAAACTACACCCATCTCTTCCTTCTTGCTGCAGATGTGGCTTTCCTCTGCTGTAATCTGAACATTTTTCCTCCTCTAATATGATTACAGTTCAGGGGATTTTTAGCTTTCAGAATTTCAAAACTCAGGATTGTGGCATTTCAAGTTGCATCTTTTGGGATTAGAATCAGCAGTATTCTAACTCATCCCTTTCAGTTGAGTAGAAGGTAGAACTCCTGAGTACAGTGAATTGTTTACTTCATAACCCTGTCACATTTAGGAAAATGTACCACTTTGAGGGGTCTCCATTGAATGGACTCTGGACTGTGATTTGTTTCAAGATCTAGTTCCCTGGATTGAACGTCACCCAGCTCAGGTGGGGAGGATTGAGATGGACATTTAAGAAATGCGTAAGTTGGCTTCCTTCTCTCATGTTAGCCAATCCCCTGGGCAGACTCCTGGGTGATGCTAATGGTTCTGCTCTTGAATTGGTACTGGGTTAGGGTTTCTATTTTCTTTCTGAAAAGATGGACAAAACTTTGACTAACAAGGTAAGGAGAGAAAACATTACAGCCAGAAAGTTGTTCCCTGACGTATCTCCAGCATATGGCATCTAATCACATGACCCTGATGTGTTTCAAACTCCTTTTATTTCAAAAAGAAGTATCTGTGATCTATAAATTCTACTCTCACTTACCTGACTTTTGCAGGAAGGATTAACATATGTAATGTATCAGGCCCAGTACAAAATGAAAATATGGAAAGTTTTCATTAAAATTATTGAGACTTTCCCTATGCATAGAGACAGAGTGTTAAACCAAAGCTGTGCTGTGGGTGATTGTTAAGGTCAGTTGTCCCTAAGGCTGGTCATGTTCACAGTGAACAGCTTTTGATGCTTAGACATTTTCCTTAGTACATTATTTAACCACTTTTCACCTGGATAGCAAGTTTTCTAAACAAAACAAAACAGTAAAGTATATGCATTCAAAATAGGGAAAGAGAAATTATTATGAAGGCATGTTCATATTCATAGTTTATATTTTAATTCTTTCTTCCTTCTATGTTGTTATGGGTTTGGAAGTAATGACTTGGAAGTTGGTGCTATAATGGGTTGCATCTATATAGAGAA